AGAAAAAGACCAAGTACTAGTCCTGAGCATCATGGCTACAGGGCCCAGTTGTGTTTGTCTCCTTTTTAGTCCGAGGGCACCTCTGAGGTGTCAGACCTCATGCTTGTACCTGTGCTGGGGCAGCAGTCTGCAGTTCTCCCCTTCTCAGAGCAGGCTCATGGCTAAAATGCCCTGTGTATGAACAGAATATCTAGCAGGCTCATTTGGATTTGGCACATGCAGTGGTTCTCTTTGAAAGTCTGAGGCACATAATGTATGCAATAGCAAGTAGCACAGGGGTAGGCAATCATTTTGGGCGGAGGGATGCTTACTGAGTTTTGGCAAGCCATCGAGGGCTGCATGACAGGCAGCTAGGGGCAGATAAATATTCATTTTCTAAATTTTTTAAGGGCCTCACAGGCCGGATAGAATGGCCTGGCGGGCTGCATCTGGGTAACAGGCTGCATTTTGCCCACCCCTGAAGTAGCATGAGTCATTCCCTGACAAAAAGCTCTAAGGAACTAACTCTCTTCTCCCTGGGTAGATTCTCTCTTTAAATTGCTGCTGTTCTTTTGATATTCTGGTTCCTAGGCCTTTTCCTGAAATGGGATTTTCTTTTTACACAGTTGTGCTTGTTTTAGATTACTTTGTTTCTTACCTGATGATTTATCTTCATTGGGGCTACAAGGAAAGCAAATATGATCATATAGTAAGCACCTTTATAAGCAGGTCATCTTACAGACCATCTCAATGTCCATTACGCTGAGATGAGCAGGATTATTTTGGTAGTTCGTGTAAGGCTCCTCAGATCTGGAGACAGACTTCTCAGTAGCTGGTCCATGGCTTTGGAACACGCTTCCACAAAAACCAAAAATGAACAAAATTCTTGGTGTTTTCAGGATATATTATGCAAGATATGTCCATGGTGGGGATACTAAATAGCAATAACAACAACAAACAAAACAAAAAAACACCAAGAGCTGTTTCCTTTCTTGTGGGAATTAACAGTGGATAGAATCTACATTAGACTTATTTATGTAAATTTGTAAGGCACTGCAAGATACCGTATGATATTGTCAGGTACTACAAATGGCAAAGGTGGCATGAATACATAAGTTAATGCTTGGTGCACTGAGAAAATAGCCCCAGGAACGTGATGCATCTTAAATTCCACAGCCGGGAATTGTAAGGACAAGCTCTGCCGTCAGATACACATACTGAAGTTAAGTAGTTCTCCAAGGGATCCGGAAATGTTCACTTTAAATACAAAGATTCCTACTGCTCATTTAAGTCTAACAGGTTTCAAGAATATTGCCAGCTTTATTATCCAGCAGTCTCAATGCAAGATTACATGCATACTCTCTGGGAATCCTGATGGACCACTGGATTATCTGCTCCTTCCTTCCTCAAGCACTAGTGTATCTGGATGCTGAAAGGGATGGGGGAGCCTTCCCGTTACAAGAGAACCAAACATGTTGTCACATTTATTATTTCTTCCTTTCTCCACTCTCACTCCATGAGTTAGATTGGGTGCTGAAATGTTGAGCATCTTTGCTCTTCCCCATCTCTTGGCTTTCTGTTCCCAGATAGGGGGTTTTGCTGTTCATCTTCCTTGCTTTTGTTCATGCTGCCTTGCTTCCCTCTTCTGTCTTTGGTTTCTCTTGCTTCTCATAGTTTTCCAGAGCAGCTGAAGGTGAACAGATCCTTGTCAGTTTTAACTCCTGAGTCAGGCTTCTGAGTAACAGCATTGAAAACTGATCAGATTGGAGTGCACATTTTTAACCATGCCTGCTTTATAGTAAAAGCACTAAGTTGCTTGGATTTATTTTGAATACAAATGTAAAGTAAAGAAGACCAAACTGATCTCAATTTTTCAGCCATTTTTACTCTTCACAAGTCCTTTATATTTTATTAGTAAGCTGCCTTGCTTTTCTAAAATTCCTTTCCCATTTTTGTTCTGTTAGCTGTTATTTCCTGTGTTTGTGATGTGCTTTTTATACCTGTGCTGTATTGTGGGGCAAGAACTACTGGCTTCACAAAACCAAAGATTTCCAGTTTCCACTCTGACTTGGGAAGAACCAGGCTTGTATCTTGTAGCTGAAGGGCAGCTATTGCCTCCATGGGCACCCTTTGCTAACTGATAAACTATTGACAACACATTTCTCAAAAGGCATAATAGATGTATGGCCTGCTAGTTCACTGAAAAAAATATATCCTGGAAGCTCTGTAGATTGGTGCTGATATAGCAAGCAGAGACACAGTGAGGTATCTTAGAATTAAGAGGAAGTGTGCTTTATTGTGGGTAGTAATCTAGGTGGGGGCAGAGAGAGACAGTAACTGGTTATCCCCAGAGACTTGAGGAGAGCTGTGATACAATCTGCCTGCTATTATACAACTGTTAGACAATTCGGGGTCTTACAGGAGAGGCAGTTTTGGTCCTGGTAGAGGAATGTTGAGTTCTAGTAATGCCTCTGTGATTGCCCAGCCAGGCCTGCTCTGTAGTTCTAGCCCCAAATACCACTGCAAAGATAAAATGTTGCCTTCTTTATAGTGAGCAGGGAGGCATTCTTGGGTTTCTTCAGCTGAGAAAGCAGTTTAAGGTTTTCCTTCAGGTTACAGACCTACAAAATGGTGGGGGGTCTCTGCTTTTTCAGAGTGGAGAAGGCCCCTGTGTGGAGGATCTCTTTCTTGATGTGAGGACTTATCAGGTAGACCTGGGGTGATTCTTGAAGAAGTTGTGTCCTTAGAAGTCCTTGTACAGGTTGTGCCAAAGTGGCCTTCAAAGTAAATCTAATTCTGATGCACATGAATGCAATTTTCATTACAAAATAGAAGTAAGTGGAGACAAGAAAATTCTGAGATTGGAAATTAACAGAGCAAATGGGGTAACTAAGCTCTTATAAAGGGTGAATGGTAGAAATGAGAGGTAAACGAGGGACACAACATGAAGTTCATTAGGTTCTACAGAACAGGTTTGCTATACCATATATGCAAATAGATGAAGACTAGGAGGACTTGATAAGGTTTAACATGGTTTTGAGGTTGGAACTTTTGAATCTGTTTGTCTAACACTTTCTGGAATCTCAGGAACCGCAGGCACTATTGTAATAGTGATGGGACTATTTTTTAATTACGCAACCTTTTGCGGGGGGGGGGGGAGTTTATGAAATTATGCACAATAGAATTAAGCTTCATGTGCAAACTTTAGTGTTCAAATTTAGATTTTTGAGACATAATTTAGACACGTTTAGCTTAACTAGTACTGCTTCCTAGTAATTGATCTGCAAAATTATGCCAAACTGTTTTTGCATTTTCTAACTATGAGTACTGCTATTTAAAAAAAAAAAAAAAAAATGTTCATGCACAGGCTTTTCAAGATTGTATTTATTTTAGCGGCATCAGTAAAATACAGTGTTCTGAACCAGCAGTGTTCCAAAATGTATAATGTTTGTAGCAGAATAATTTGACATGGGAAGCATTTCTGCTTGTACAAAATTCCATAACGTGGGGTTATATATGAGAATTGAACTCCTAGGGTGCGTCCGGATGAGTGCGGTCATGCAGCATGTGGCGCTGCAAACATGTTTGCAGCACCACATACTGCACAGTCCGGTGTTCTCCATGCTTCAAGGGTGTACTACCCGAGTTCGCGCTGTGCCTCTTCCCGCCCCCCCCCCCGGGTTTTTTTGACCCTGGATATCCAGGGGTCAAAAAAATCTGCAGAAAAAAACCCTGGTGCAGCACACGTTTGGGCAGCATGTGGTGCTGAAAAGTGGAGCCAGGAAGCTCAGAGCTGTGCTGCGGCTCCTGGCTAGGCTTCGCATGGCAGAATCACTGTGGCTGCAGCCCTGGGAGGTCCCCAGGACCCTAGGTAAGGCTGCTGGGGCCAGCAGTCCTTGCCCCAGCCTCCCCTACCCCATCCAGGGCAACTTGCCACATGCCAAAGCGCGTGTGGCACAGGCATTCCCCAGGGACAAGTAGCTATGGTGCAAGGTGTGCCGCTGCTACTTGTCCCCAGGAAACCAAACGTCCACACACATCTGGATGCGCCCTTAGATTTCATTTTGTTACATTTCCCTCTTTTTCTCTCTCCCTCTTTCTTGCTAATTTAGAAATGTAATTGCAAAGATATGGTTGATTTTAAAAAGTATTGAGTACAGATTCCAGTTTTCAGGCTGGCTTGTTTAGTTTGAGCTATTTTTTTTTCTTTATAGATATATATTAGTTTAGGTTGTTTTTTTTTTGGGGGGGGGTGGGGAATAACCTTTTCAGTGTTACCAACTCTTTGTAGGAATTTGTGGCTCTTTTTGATTGCTGTTTCTTTCATAGTAAAATGCAAAGGGAAGAATTAAGATAGTATCACTATGCTATTTGATTATATTGGAAAATCCATTCCACATGTTTCACTCATACTACTGTTTTACAAGAATAGAAGCGATCATTCACCTACTTCAATTTTCAGCATTTTATTCTGGAAATAGCTGCATCATGCTAGCCGGTATGTGGTAGTATTAAAATAGTATTAAAATTACCTGTATTTTCAAAATTTGTATTTTAAGAGCAAATGGAGAAAACATGAATCTTTCCTACTCTGAGTAAGTTGAAGTACAGTTGCTGGTAAAATTAGATCTGCTGTGCTGTGAAATGGAGCATATATCTCAAATGGTTTCTTTTCTTGGTTTTGGTTCAGGTTAACAGAAGTATCTCTACATCTGCAGTTTCTGGAAACTTAACAAGAACATTTTGAACCTTTTGGCCAATACAAATTTTCCCATTATGTAAAACATCTTGCAGATTAGTTTGACTCACTGAGCAGTGGCAAGCAGAAGTGCCTTCCTGCATGAAGTAGATTTTTACAATGAAGTTTCTAATGAATTGGTAAATTGCTGTATGGCCTGTTATTTTGGTATATTTGGGCATGACTTAATACTATTTATCTTTTCTGCCTTCAGGCTTGTTAGAATTGTTTCTGCATATTAATAGAAGACACTTAAAACTGACTTTACTTGTTTGTTTCCCAGCAGGAAGACCTGAGTGCTTATGCTTTAGCTGAATCAAGACCGGCGCTCAGCAGTGGGAGATAATGTATTAATCCATTGGAAGCACAGAGTGGAGTCTCACATATTACTTTGCGGTTTGTGTTGTGAATTGGCTTTTTCATGTAAAAAGGTAGGTACTAACAGAATTCTTTTGATGTGTGTATGTGTGTGCGTGCTGTTTTCTTGTTGTGCATATTTAAGAATCTCATGACAGACAAAGCATTTTTGGTATCTGTTGTATATTGCTGTCTTATTGTTCCACACACCTTTATGCAATAAAATTACGTTGAGCTTGTTCTGTTGTTTCCTTTTGTATGCTAACTGAAAGCTTTTATTGCAAGTTAACTTAATGTTCATGTTCACACCTTGTTTACCAAGGACAGTGGTCTTAAAACTCAGTAAGTTTCATACTTCTTCCTATTGTTAAGTCATTTTGTAATCTGACCGTTTTATTCTCTACCCAAAAAGACCTGAGTATTTAGTAAGTATATAATCTTCTGCTTGCCTGCATTAACAATTCAACAGTTGTAAGCTATTCCTTCCTGCAAATGAATGGAGATATAGTAGCTTATAAATAATTTCTAAATAAACTGTCTGTGTTCTCTCTGCAGCAAGGTAAGTAGGCATCTCGTTAAGTAACTGAGGGCGAAAAAATAGATTTTGCAGACACCATTCAGCAGTTTGGTTGTTGGCATCTATGTAATAGTTTCTATTACTTAAGTAAACTAAGTGATGACCAGATTGGAGAACTTTGTAATATCCTAGCAAGACTGGAGGGAGGAGGAGGTACTTTGAATTTTTGAAGGCAGAACTATTCAGTGACACTTACCTCTTTCTGGTCCTAGTTTACTTTTTCGGCAGTTTGAGCAGCCATTTCTTCTAGAGAATCACTGCTCCTATTTGTCTATTATAGCAACTCTAAAATATGGTTTGACAATAGTAGTGAAACATATGTACCTCTCAACTTCAGATCAGCATCACAGGGAGATGCCTACACATGTTGTGCATTGCTGAAAATTTTAGATTATTTGTATAGCCATATGGCACCAGCAGGTAGTGCCCTAGGATGATGAAATAATTACCTTGCCGTTCCAAATCATGAACCTCGGGAGCAGATAAGACACTTAAAACCAGTGTAGGAGCAGAAACACCTTTGTAAAAGTTAAAAATAAATCCTTTTTCTAAAAAGCAAGTCTGGCTTGTACTATTTTAAAGTTGCTCTAGCAAAAACATGAATTTTTGATAGGAGAAAACTTTTTTTAACATAGAAGCTGATGTTATCTTAATATGCTCAAGGTCCTCACTCCTGCGGTTAGGAGAGTCCTTTTTATAGACTCATAGGCTGAATCTTATTTCGAGTCCTTGGAAGGTCATGATCTAGATGTGCCACTGGAGGAGGTGGCATGTGTGGGAAGAGCCAGACAGAGTCTCTTCCTGTTAGAACGGTCAGTTCCTTTTTTGCACTTTGTTTTCTAGAGAGTGGGCAGAGGATCCTGGGTTCTTTGCTTAGCAGAATGGAAAGGTATTTGAGAGGGTATCAGGAATGAAGGTGAGGCCCCAACAGAATCCTTGAGGTTTTCTTCTCACAATGTTGCTGTGTGCAGTCGGTGGTACATAGACCACAGTTTGGAACCTGTTGGTCTCACGTTTTGCCTGGTTGTCTTCTCAATTGCCTATGAATGCCATTAGTATAAATGGATTGAAGCATCTGAAACACTCTTTTGTCTTACCAATTCCTCCTGATGCTGATATTGGAAAGAATTTAAAACTTCTGTTCCTTCCCATTCATGCAGTTTACTTTTTTGTTCTTGTTTACTCACCTTATACCATAGATGTAGATCAGACGGTTGTAATTTTTTTGTCTACTTCCCCCTAATCAGCCAGAGAGGTGTTTGGTTTCTGATTACTGCAATAGTACCTAGAGCAGTGATTTTTTTTCAACCAGGAGGCTGTGCAATGTTAGCACTGTTAGGTATGCAAAATAATTCACAAGTTATACCTAGAGATAGATTTCAAATAGGAATCCATAATGTTAAAAACTGTGTGACCTATTGCGGTCTTTTTGAGTTCCTTGTAACAGAAGAATTGCTCTATTCTATAGTGTAAAAAAAAAAAAAAAAAGTGAAAACTAACAGCTGTCACTTTCTGAGGGGTCTCTTGAATCTAAAAAGGTTGAGAACCGCTGATCTAGAGGACCTGACCAAGACCGGGTCTGCTTTGTGCTAGGATGTATATATGCATGTCTGTTGAGAGGCATGTCTGCACCTTGATGAGGTTGTAGTATAAAGAGACAAGATAAAAGGTTGGAGCAAGAAAGTGTAATCCACCTTTCACAGATGGGGGGAACGAAGGCATAACACAGTGCCCAAGGACATGCAGGAAGTCTGTAGTAGTTCTCATGAGACTCCTGTTCCTTAATCACAGGCCTTTGCTTCTTTTCAAAACAGCTTTCTCCTCTTGCATAACAAAATGTTACGGTGTTTGGGCTGCAAACCCTATGGCAGAATATTTGCTTCGAAACAAAATGGTGTTCTTCAGCATTAGACAAAGTTTTCTTTAACCCTCCCCCAAAACAAAATAAAACAAAAACAAACCCTCAACTCCCATCTGGGACCTAAACTGCCTGTAGGCTAGTTTTAAATTGTTCTTTGAAAGAGACTGAAACTTAATATGAAAAAGAATTGCTACAGAAATGTTTAAAAAATGTTATTGTATTATTAGTTGTTCAGACCTTAAAATAGTGTCTTGGTACTTGGGAATGCTGTAGTTCAGC